ACTGCACCAGCTGCTAGGAAGAAAATGAACTCTATCCCAGCCATAACCAGAACAGTCTATTTTTCGCTTTATAAAATGGTACATAGTGCTTCTTGGTCAGGATACTTCACATAGACAAAAGCCACTCCTAGTAAGGTCACTGTTTCTGCTTCAAAATTCCCTTAACACTCATTCTAACAAAGCACGCAATTCTATTCCCAGCTTTCCTGGCATTGACAATTGTCCAATACAATATGAATTTCATTAGGCACAGAAATCTAAAGAAAATTTTTAACACTGCAACAGACATTAAAATTAAATATCTTGACAGAGACGTTCATATTTGTAATGTTTCAATAACCTGAAGATCACACTAGCTTTACCCTAGAGATGTTTAAATAATTAAAGTGACAAATTTCTTCCTTGCCCCCCCCCCCCCCCAAATTATTTGCAAAGCAATTTTAATGATTTTGATAATTGTCTGCTGAACATTTATGAATTGTTCCCTCCCCTGGGTTTTACAGTTTGGACTGGTAACTATACACTGCACTTTTTTACCAGAATATAACCATCCTTCAGTGACAGTCATTTTTAGTCATATAGATTTTGGTTACAAATTAAGAAATAACTGTGTCTGAACAAGCACCATGCTAATACCTTTGATTGAAGAAAAAAATAGTTTTTACAAAAATATATATGAATAACATTTTAAAAGGAGCACTCGTGAATCATACAAAGAGTTATTAGAAGTTCACTGGAGTTTTTGTAACTGCTGTTTCCAGTACTTCACACACTGTGCTTAGAATAGAACATTAGGCTTTCAGGTCAGAGTCTCACACAGTGTAAATGGCATAGCTCTACTTGTTGGCCTGACTACACTGCCTTTAGCAGAGATGAAATGATTCGTATCAGACAGGGCTGTAGTTTTCTGAGTGTCAGCTCTGCAGTTTCTTGCAAGAATATGAAAGGACATTAACGGGTGTCCTTTCTCACCTGCATTTCTTTTCTAGTAATTCTCCCAGTCAAATCTTCTGATCCCAGTCCTCAATTTGAATTCCTCAAAATCTAACTGGTTTGTATTGACTTTCACATCCCTGGATTAGTTTTGTGGTTTAGCTGCTTATAAATTGAGAAATATATGAGCCAGAAGCTATTGAGCAAGGGAACACAGAACTGCCCATTATCCCCTCAATCACAAGCACTTTTCAAGGTAAATCTGTACTTAATACATCAATTCATTGACTGATGGTACTTGTTTATTACACAATAGGTAAAAAGTCTATAATAATGTGGTACTTCATTCTCTGCAAAGAATCTTATGAATTATCACTCAGGAGTAGTTTTAATGCAAGTGACACGCTGTCATCGGTTTGCCTTCAAGATTACAGGCCTAGTTAAACAGCAGACTTAAACAAAAAACATCCAGGCTCAGGCGATTCCCAGAGCTAGTAAGAGAATGCAGTCAGGCCTGGGGCACATACTTACTGCAACTCCAAGCAACAACCTTTTCCATGCAAAACGGGGCACTGCTGGAAATGGACCTTTAAGGCCTAAACATATGACTGAATTGTAGCTCTGTTTCAGTAAGCTCCAGAATTAAAACAGTACCTTTATCCTTGCACGCATAAGCCACTTAAAAAAAACAAACAAAAACCCCACAAGCTCACATGAGGTTATGTACTGTTTTGCCACTACTATTCTTCTGTCTTCCTTTCTTTTCTTTATATTTATCTCCTTTTGCTTTCTCCCCTACTGCCAGTCCACCTTATCTCCCAATTTTGCTGTTTCCCTCTATCATTCCACTGAAGGGACCTGCTTCCTCAACACCCCCAGCTGTCTCCAGTTGTTCTCTTTGACTGAGAACAATTGAGGACTCTTGGTGCTTTGCCTCTGAGCAGTTCTCATGCAATTAAAGCAATATGATCTCTGCCACCACTGAACACTGTAGTAGAAACTTATTTTAGCTGTTAAGTATTTTACCAAGTTGCATTTATTATGTTAACTTTTTTAATAAGATGCAGAAGTCAGTTTTGTCCAGCTATTCTGAGAAGCAGCAGCACTGCACAGCAGAAAAGGCTTGATATGACAGGATAAGACATACTCTAAAAGCCCCTTCCAAATGGTTGGCCATCATCACATCAAAGGTACCAAACCCACCTTATGGCCTTGACATCAAGCACATCATGCTCTTTAGCCATGGTGGCAATGAGAAGTAACAAGCAGATGCTCAGGTGTGGTAGTGATGTTCCCACTGATGAGTCTAGGGAGTCGTGCCAACATACGTATGCTGCTGCACGGATGGGAGCAGTAACAACAGTGTTGATTTTGGACTGGTAGTGACTAAAGGCAGAAATGAAGGATGTGATGCTTTGGAAGCAATATACTCCAGCAGCAAAATCTGGGGAGGATGAGCAACTTAGAAAGTTATGCTCTTTGAACTGAATTTAATTAGGAAGTTACACATGATGTTCCTGATACTGTCTGCAAAAAACAGAGCATGGATTTTTAATGTCCACTATACATTTCCTTTTCTGTTGACTTCAGTGGTTTCTTTCTTGCATAAAACATGCTAAAAGGAAACAGTGGCCATATGTACACTTATATTACTTGATGTCAAACACCTCATCTAAGCTATTTCCCACTCAAAAACATGAAAATCCAATACCATCTGAAAGAGGTTCATGAGAAATAAAGGAAGTTACCCGATTTAGAAGAGAGGCTGCAGCAGTAACTAAAACCAGTAACTTAAACTGCATATGAAGGAATGGTTCCTGGCAGCCAGATATAATAATGCACATCTAGATTCTATTGTGCAAAGCCCTCCATATGGCAGCTCTAAAACCATACATGGTAAGCTGCAAGAGTAAAACTTTGCACCAGAGCTAAGAACAGCATTACCAAAATCCTCAGTCAACCCTTTGACATGCAGTCCTGAATCAGGGGACTCATCTTTTTAACTAATCTGTTTTGATAGAGATAGTCAGGTGGGCAAAAGAACCCTCTATACATAGCATTTCACCACCACTAGAATAGAATTAGCATCTCATCAATATCTTTTGTGGATACTGGCAAGTTCATTAAGATTCAAAGGAATATTTATTCAAATATTTCCAGTATGCTAAATGGCTGCAGCTCTGTTTAAGCAAGAGATGCAATAGGTGCAGTGGAAATCTCATAGAAGTATTCCAAATAATGTTTGTTAGTGCTTTTCCTGTTAATACAATAATCCTTTACATAGAGAAAGTTTACTCCTCTTTTAGAGAAAGTTCTCACACATTATCTTGCTCATATATAGGACTTTTGGGGGTTTAACATCATTAGCTACAAAATTACATACATAGTAATGGGAAGGAGACACAAACGTCGTAATTATGAAAGGAGCAGAATCTTGTCAAGGGAAGTTTTCCTTGTATTTTTTTCCCTCTGTTGTTTATTTGCCATCTCATTTATACAGAACCTCAGCTGACATTCAAAGGTAGTTCTTTATCGGGTGTATACTGAACTGTGCTAACTGAAGTGACTTTTTGTTGTTGCTGTTGTTGTTTGTCTCAACTATAATTAAAATTTCTAATTGGAATTTACACCCATGCCTGCAGTGTGTTGTTATCACAGATGAGATGCTAGAAGAGAGCTACGGTGCCCTCCCAGAAGATGAAGAATAATGACTCTGGCTCACGGGTGAATTGCAAAGTTCCTTAGCAAAGAATGAGGACTAATGTAAAAACCTCCTGGAGGCAAACAGTGGTTACCACATAATTATGTGACAAATAAACCACAACCTATGCAGTAAGCAAGTCTGATGGATGGGATTTTCAGACATTTTTGTCTTCATCATTCGTAACTCAAGCACTGCTAGTGATCAATATTAAAAGCCCTCAGAGAAGGAAGCCAACACTGAACACAGTTGCAGCATGTGTAACTTGGCAAGAAGTACACAGTCATATCTCCATTGCACCAAACCCAGCTCACTAGGAGATCCAGGTAGAGAAGACAAGACTACCTTGTTGCTCTGTGCTTATTTCTGATGTTAGGATTCATTTATTGCATAGTCAAATCATGTAACTGACAATTCCATGGGCAAAGCCACATTCCATGACTTAGGTGGAGCATAACAGGGTCCTTTCAAGAAGGCAAATACAAAAGGTAGTTAGAGAAAAAATAGTGATTCACACTGGAAGGATTTTACAGTTTCTCCAGTCACTCCTAAAAATACATCCATTTCCTTTATGTCATTTTTGCTTATGTTACTTTTCATAGTTAGATAATCTGCACATCTGTCTTTGACAAGCATGTTCTAGACCATGTAGCATTATTTTTGCTCTCAAGATTTGCCTAGAAACACTTTTACCAATGGCCATATACTTAGTCAGTTAGAGAGGCAGAATATCTTAACACTTTTGTTTGCCAAGTTAAGAAATGCAGCTGTTGTGTAAGAAAATGGAAAGGTTTTGGTAATTTGAGTTTGGCACATACTAGAGTGACAGGACAACAGCAGAGAAAGGAAAAAAAAAAAAAAAAAAGGAGCTTTAGAAAAAGACTTCCACAAAAACAGGGTTTGGAATTTAACACAGCTGTATGGTGTGAAGAAGGTGGCTGTACATTGCAGATTTGTGAAAAAGACATAAATCTATCAAGTAAATAAGATGTTAATTCAGATAATATACAAATGAACTGTAAGTGTACGTAAGTGTGTATGTAAAATGTTTTAAAACTCATTGTTTCATTCATAAAACACACACAGTTAAAGATCAGAAATGAAAGAAAGCTTTTACCAACAAATCTGGGTCAGTGATGCCTCTTGTACTCCTTACATGCTTCAAAGTGAATAAACAAACTTCACTGTCAAAGCGTTAACGTACCAGTGATTTTCATTTATGGCAGAAATAATGTTCTAGCTTCCTGTGAAGAGCTACTAAAGAACTTATGGGGGTATTGCTGCAGGAAAACAATGACAGGTACAAGATGGTTCCTCCTACATAGTCTAAGAGCAGCAGCAATGTCAGAGATCATTAGAAACTAACCTGTGGTGTCATTCCATGGCAGATATACATGATTGGGATATTCTCTGTGTCTGGCCCTTGATCAAGGCACAAATCACTTTTCAGGGAATTCTGCAGCTAAAATAAACAGAAAGAAAAAAGAAGTCAAGCAAGCCTTACATAAGAAAATGATGGTGTGATTACTTTCTTTTTCTTTGAAAAAAAAAAAAAGTGTATGTGGTTGAGCAAGGAAATATGCAAAATTAAAAATACTTGTGGTAAAGATACTGAAGAGCAAGCACTTGGACTAAATTCTTCCCTGTAGATAATGTAACACTTTCAGATTTCAATTGTTGCACATGGTTTCAGGGAGGGTAAATTTCAAAACACCTTCAGAGATAATAATGATTTTTGATACATATTTTTTACAATATCAAGTCTAACACATCTCTGGTACACACTATATACAAAGGACAGTTTTTTCACAGCAATGCAGCCAGCTGAGCAGCATGGTTGGAGTTGCAAACACAGGAGAAAGCCTATAATTAACAGCTTTTCAGAATCACTCTGAGCAGATTCTTCTCTTAAAAAACTCCTTTCTGCTGATGCAGACTTGTAGCCAATTGGTATGCACTAGCTCTTCTTCGCATTATTCCAGGCTAGCCCACGAACAGCAGTCTAACAATGAACAGACTGCAAAGTACTTGGCCCTGGTTATCACAGAGCTCCACATATTACCTGTGCAATGCTGAGACAGAGTTTTCTGAAAGTGAACTGCGAAATTAATGAGCACAGATAGCTGGAAGGTTTAGAGTGTGAGGCCAAATATGTGGACTGCATACCCATGGGTATGCATAAAGGTGCTCAGTGGTGTAAGGTAAATTCATAGAACATGAGAGAATTGTGTGATGGAAGGAGTGAAGAGGTGATGTGGTTTGCAACCATGTGCAATTAACTGAGCAATCCTGTCAGCTGTGTACAGGGTACTCCTTTGAGGAAAACAAACTGATATGCTCAGGAAGTCTAGAAGTGCACTAATATGTAAGAAGTGTGGCCAAGCCCAAGATTGAAGCCAGGCAGTGAATAAAATGAAAAATGTGAAGATTTCCAACTCCAAACTTAACTCTAAATTCAATAATAAGAAAGAACAAATCCCAACATTAAAAAGGCATGAATGCATTCTTAGCTGCTAGCCTCAAGAATTAAAGAAAGTTTCCTTTCACAAAGCTTTCTATTTCTTAACCATAAACATAACCACAAACATGACTCTAATCATAATCAGGTGTCAGGCACCACTCTATCCAAACCAGTGATAAATATCAGCTTTAATAATTCATACCTGGATCCGTCACTACATTTGGCTTTTCAAAACCTCTTCCACAAACTCAAATTCTAACACTTGTCCTAGCCCTAATGGAATAACCTTTTCCATAACACTCCCCATAATAAAGGAAGAAAAGAAAACTCCCTTGACCAACATCAGCATGCAACTTAGGGCTGATGCAGCATTATAACAGGTACAGAGACTTCAGAGTTCATGCTCATTCTCATGTCCGGCTGGAGACCAGTAACAAGTGGTGTCCCTCAGGGATCGGGGTTGGGACCGGTCTTGTTCAACATCTTTGTCACTGACATGGACAGTGGGATTGAGTGCGCCCTCAGCAAGTTTGCCGATGACACCAAGCTGTGTGGTTCGGTTGATACGCTGGAGGGAAGAAATGCCATCCAGAGGGACCTTGACACGCTTGTGAGGTGGGCTGATGCCAACCTGATGAAGTTTAACCATGCCAAGTGCAAGGTCCCACACCTGGGCTGGAGCAATCCCAGGCACAGCTACAGGTTGGGCAAAGAAGAGATTCAGAGCAGCCCTGCAGAGAATAGCTTGGGGGTGTTGGTCAATGAGAAAATGAACATGAGCCAGCTTCAGTGTGCGCTCACAGCCCAGAAAGCCAACTGTATCCTGGGCTGCATCAAAAGGAGCGTGACCAGCAGGTTGAAGGAGGTGATCCTGCCCCTTTACTCTGCTCTTGTGAGACCTCACCTGGAGTATTGTGTGCAGTTCTGGTGTCCTCAACATAAAAAGGACATGGAACTGTTGGAACAAGTCCAGAGGAGGGCCACGAGGATGATCAGGGGACTGGAGCACCTCCTGTATGAAGATAGGCTGAGAAAGTTGGGGCTGTTCAGCCTGGAGAAGAGAAGGCTGCATGGAGACCTCATAGCAGCCTTGCAGTATCTGAAGGGGGCCTATAGGGATGCTGGGGGGGGAATCTTCATTAGGAACTGTAGTGACAGGACAAGGGGTAACGGGTTAAAACTTAAACAGGGGAAGTTTAGATTGGATATAAGAAGGAAATCCTTTCCTGTTAGGGTGGTGAGGCACTGGAATGGGTTGCCCAGGGAAGTTGTGAATGCTCCGTCCCTGGCAGTGTTCAAGACCAGGTTGGCCAGAGCCTTGGATGAGATGGTTTAGTGTGAGGTGTCCCTGCCCATGGCAGGGGGGGTGGAACTAGATGATCTTAAGGTCCTTTCCAATCCTAACTATTATATGATTCTATGCTCCTAAAAGAAACATGACCTTAACCCTAACAGCAGCTGCCTGGTGCCTTATGAACCCTGAGAACAAAACAATTAAAATGTACTCATCAGATTTAATTTCTCAAACTTTTATCCTGATCACAACTCTAAAATTAACTTAGAATATCTGTAGAGAATTAACCCTTACAAAACCAGAGAAACAAAAAAGACAATGGCCTGATAACTAATAATGGTGTGTGAAAATCTGAGGCCCAGACTCTTCAAAACTATCCCTTTCCAAAATCTAGTGGCATTGTGGTGACCAGCAACTAACTTGGCTAATGCAGTTTTAGACTACCAAGACTTAATTACAACCAAAAATATAACCAGGCTCCCAATCCACATGCTGAAAACCAGAAATAATTAATCAATACTGCCATCTGCTCCCTCTCACTGAGAGTCTTACAGAACACAAAGATAAACTGGATTACAGAAATTTATCAACTTGCAAGATGATCTCAAACATCAAGCTGACACCAGGGAACCAGTCCCTACACTAAACACATCAGCTTATGGTCCACTGACACCACTTTCTCCTATCTCTACCAGTACTGCAGACTTCAAAAAGAAACCTTGTTTCCAAACCTTCCTGCTGCCAACAACCCGAATCCTAGCTGTATGTCACAGCATAAACTAGACATCGATACAACTATTTTCTAACTTTCACAGAACAGGAGGAAATTTAAGATTCAGGAAATAAATATGGGTGGTGACACTGCAGATGCCTATACCCTAACCCTCACCCCTATTCAGGTAACTTTTGTAATTACTCAGTAGGTTTTAAAATTAATGACAATGCTACAGTAGCAACATCTCTATTTTCTACAAAGAGGGAAGTGAGTTGATGAATGGAAGTACTTAGAGAATCAGCAAGCAGCTGACTTGATTTGAAATATCATACCTTTCTCCATTATAAGAAATGCAGATGAACAGGAAACCAGACTGAAGGAATGTTAGAGATCCAAGCACTTTACTAAGAAGATTGGGGCACTGGATCTTTTTGTTTCAAAAAACAGTATTTCATATAAGAGTAAACTGTGTATTTCATAAAACACTCCTCTTTACCTGTACAGATATGTTGCCATAGATGTCCACTACTACTTTTGTGATAGTACAAATACTAAAATAAGGCCTACTCCTCACATCTTGCTTAGCTGATGAGGCTACTCTCATACTGCAGACAAAATACTGCATCGTGTATGTTATTATGGGGAGATCAGCGTCCAGGAGCCTCAACTCAGAGCGACAAGAGCCACCGAGGGAGCCTCAAGTCCTCGACAGGACCTGCCCGGGAGCCGGCAGCTCAGCTGACGCCAGCAGCTGGCTCACAGGGGGCGGAGCCTGAAGCAGCGGCACCAGCCCTCACTGGGTAAAAACCTGCCCCAGGGAGAGCGGCGACCAGGAGTTTGGCGAGGCAGTTTGAGCGGGATGGTGAGCACTCGTCGTGTGACCAGGGCCCGGTCTGGGAGCTCTGCCCCGGCGGTGGCAGCGTAGGCACCCAGACAGAGCCGATGAGAGGGGAGGCTGCAGTGCAGAGCTTGGGGTGTAGAGAGTGCCTGCACTGGTCTGGTGAGGGGAGGGTGCACAATGGGCAGGGCTGCACTCGGTGCTCCCTGGTGGAGGTGCTCCTGCAGCAGGGGCTGAGCTGCGGGATGCTGTTAATAGGCTGCGAGATGTCAGGGAAGCTGAGGGGAAGCAGGAATGCTTGCTCCACGCCCAAACTGTGCAGGGGCCTCGAGCTTCCCCTCTACCTCATGAAGGAAAGAAGGAGGCCGTTAACCTGGGAAGCTGGGAATTAGTGACACAAAAAAACACAACAAAAAAAAAAAGAAGGAAAAGGACAACCAAAAGCGAGGGGCTTCCCCCCAAATCCCCTGTCCCCACGCAGAACTGCTTTGCTGTCCTGCAGGGACTAATGAGGAAGCACACCCGAGCCAGAAACAGCCGGCTGGTGCCCTGCTAAAGAAGATCTCTACTGGTGCTGCTAGGAAAAAGCGGCGGGTCGTAGTAGTAGGGGACTCTACACTGAAAGGGACAGAAGCACTTGTCTGCCGGCCAGACCCCGTCTCAAGGGAGGTGTGTTGCCTACCGGGGGCACGGATCAGGGATGTGGCAGAGAGGCTGCCTGCTCTAGTAAGTCCCACGGATTATTACCCACTCCTGGTGATCCATGTGGGTGCTAGGGACATAGATAGTAGTAGCCTGGGGAACATAAAGAAGGACTACAGAGCCCTGGGAGAGGTGGTTAGGGGCTCTGGAGCTCAGAGAGTCTTTTCATCAATTCTCCAGGGTACAGGGGAGGACCTAAAAAAAGCTAGGAGGATTAGCCAGGTTAATAACTGGTTAAAAGGGTGGTGTCAGTCAGGGGTTTGGGTGTCTTGAACATAGGACCCAAGCTTGTAGGCCAGGTCTAGTGGGGGCTGGTGGAGCTGCTGGAGCAGTTTTGGTAGGAGGCTTGCCAGACTGGTCAAGGAGGCTTTAAAATGGATGTGTTGGGGGAGGGGGGCATCATTCCATCCCAACACACCCAGTCAGTTGCCAGAACCTATAATAAGTGCTCGGAGCAATGTAGAGATATCCCAGCCGCTCCAGCCAATGAGCCGGCTTCAGTTGGAGCTCGGCTCAGATGCCTCTATACAAATGCCCGTAGCATGGGGAACAAACAAGAGGAATTAGAGATGTGTGCACGTCTACGGGGGTATGATATAATGGGCATCACAGAAACATGGTGGGATGGCTCCTACGACTGGAGGGTTGGAATGGAAGGTTACAGGCTCTTTAGGAAGGACAGGCCTGGCAGGCGGAGAGGGGGAGTTGCCCTTTATGTTAGGGATAGGCTGGAGAGTATGCAACTCTGTCTGGGGACAGGTGAGCAGTCCACAGAGAGTTTGTGGGTCAGGGTTAAAGGGAATATAGCTATGGGAGACATTACTGTGGGGATCTGTTACAGACCGCCTGATCAAGGAGAACCTGCGGATGAAGCACGCCATAGACAGATAGGAAAAGCCTCACACTCGCAGGCCCTTGTTCTCATGGGTGACTTCAACCACCCTGGCATCTGTTGGAAGGACGGTACGGCCCAGCACAAGCAATCCAGGAGGTTCCTCAATTGTGCGGAAGACAACTTCCTTCTGCAAGTAATAGAGGAGCCGACAAGGAGAGGTGCCATGCTTGACCTCGTGCTCACCAACAGGGAAGGGCTCGTTGGAAATGTGACGCTCCAGGGCAGCCTTGGATGCAGCGATCATGAGATGGTCGAGTTTGAGATCCTCATGACAGTGAGAAGAGCTTGCAGCAAGCTCACTGCCCTGGACTTCAAAAGAGCAGACTTTGGCCTCTTCAGGAACCTGCTTAGTAAGGTTCCATGGGATACAGCCCTAGAGGGCAGAGGGGCCCAAGACTGTTGGTTGATATTCAAGGATCACCTGCTGCAAGCTCAGGAGTGTTGCATCCCAACCAGAGGGAAGTGCAGCAGGAGGGCCAGGAGACCTCCTTGGATGGATAAGGAGCTCCTGAGGAAAATTCAATTGAAAAAAGAGGCTTATAATAAGTGGAAGCAAGGACAGGTGGCCTGGGAAGAGTACAGGGATGTTGTCCGGGAAGTTGGGGACCAGGTTAGGAAAGCTAAGGCCCAGTTAGAATTAAACTTAGCTAGAGGTATTAAAGATAACAGGAAGGGATTCTACAGGTACATAGCAAATAAAAAACAAGACTAGGGAGAATGTAGGCCCCCTCAGGAAGCTCTCAGGAGAACTGGCTACACAGGATTTGGAGAAGGCTGAGGTTCTGAATGACTTCTTTGCTTCGGTCTTCACTGGCAAAGGCTATGACTGCACCACCCAAGTCTTGGAAGGCAGATGCAGGGACTGTGAGAATGAAGACCTTGGGCCCACTGTAGGAGAGGATATGGTTCAAGACCATCTTAAAAATCTGAACGTGCACAAGTCCATGGGTCCTGATGAGATCCATCCGCGGGTCCTGAAGGAGCTGGCGAATGAAGCTGCTAAGCCGCTGGCCATCATATTTGAGAAATCATGGCAGTCAGGTGAAGTTCCCGATGACTGGAAAAAGGGAAATATAACCCCCATGTTCAAGAAGGGGAAAATGGATGAGCCAGGGAATTACAGACCAGTCAGTCTCACCTCTGTGCCTGGCAAAATCTTGGAGCAGATTCTCCTGGAAGGCATGCTAAGGCACATGAAAATCAATAAGGTGCTTGGAGACAGCCAGCATGGCTTCACTAAGGGGAAATCCTGCCTGACCAATTTGGTGGCCTTCTATGATGGGGCTACAGAACTGATGGACAGGGGTAGAGCAGTTGATGTCATCTACCTAGACTTGTGCAAAGCGTTCGACACTGTCCCACACGACATCCTTGTCTCTAAATTGGAGAGACATCAATTTGATGGATGGACCACTCGGTGGATAAAGAACTGGCTGGATGGCCGCACACAAAGAGTTGTGGTCAATGGCTCAATGTCCGGCTGGAGACCAGTAACGAGTGGTGTCCCTCAGGGATCGGTGTTGGGACTGGTCTTGTTCAACATCTTCGTTGCTGACATGGACAGTGGGATTGAGTGCGCCCTCAGCAAGTTTGCTGATGACACCAAGCTGTGTGGTTCGGTTGATACGCTGGAGGGAAGGAATGCCATCCAGAGGGACCTTGACATGCTTGTGAGGTGGGCTGATGCCAACCTCATGAGGTTTAACCATGCCAAATGCAAGGTCCTACACGTGGGTCGGAGCAATCCCAGGCACAGCTACAGGTTGGGCAAAGAAGAGATTCAGAGCAGCCCTTTGGAGAAGGACTTGGGGGTGCTGGTTGATGAGAAAATGAACATGAGCCAGCTTCAGTGTGCACTTGCAGCCCAGAAAGCCAACTGTATCCTGGGCTGCATTAAAAGGAGCGTGACCAGCAGGCCAGAGGAGGTGATCCTGCCCCTCTACTCTGCTCTTGTGATACCTCACCTGGAGTATTGTGTGCAGTTCTGGTGTCCTCAACATAAAAAGGACATGGAACTGTTGGAACAAGTCCAGAGGAGGGCCACGTGGACGATCAGGGGACTGGAGCACCTCCTGTATGAAGACAGGCTGAGAAAGTTGGAGCTGTTCAGCCTGGAGAAGAGAAGGCTACGTGGAGACCTCATAGCAGCCTTCCAGTATCTGAACGGAGCCTATAGGGGTGCTGGGGAGGGACTCTTCATTAGGAACTGCAGTGACATGACAAGGGCTAACGGGTTAAAACTTAAACAGGGGAAGTTTAGGTTGGATATAAGGAGGAAATTCTTTCCTGTGAGCGTGGTGAGGCACTGGAATAGGCTGCCCAGGGAGGCTGTGAGTACTCCATCCCTGGTACTGTTCAAGGCCAGGCTGGACGAGGCCTTGGGTGATATGGTTTAGCATTAGGTGTCCCTGCCCATAGCAGGGGGGTTGGAACTAGATGATCTTAAGGTCCTTTCCAACCCTAACGATTCTATGATTATGAAGTACATAAATATGCATGTTCTGCTGACAAGCAAGTTCAGTATTTCTGTAACAAACTCTTTGCTTCTTTTTGGTTTGTATATTGTCAGCAAGGAACCTTCAAAGGCTGATGAAAAAGTCTGAGTGGAATATAAAATCACAGGGTGCCTGTTCTGTGATTTTCATTTTGACTTACATAATGCAGTTAATCCTGAGACTACACAATGAGTACCTCAGCTACTCCACTGGTCTTCTTTTTTTTATCTAGTATATCTTCTACCTGCAACCAACCATTTTTTAGCTAGAGGTACCTACAAGCAGAACTATGCTCCTATTAGCTGCTATGCTTCCTTCTCCTCAGCAAACTCCACATCTGATTAGATCATGGCATCACTGAGAGAAATTCCACACGGTCTCTGGAAGAGCTTCCTTGCTCACAGGTGTGATTTGGGCATCCTTCTTAACTATTATGGAAGGTAACCATTATCTCATGCATTTAACATTTAACACACACGAATCAATTTTTGTGAATATGACACTGCTTAGAGAAGGTGAAAAGGACATCCTAGTTCTGCTAGCTTATTATGGGACCGTAGTAACTTCCTGTGCTCATCTTTGGTATCATGCACACTTGCACTCTTGGTTTAGATCAGCTTCTCTAGGGGTAAGAATTGTCTCTGCTTTAATTAGCACAGTACGACTCAAGCATGATTTCTGCATAGACAAGGGTACTACTGTCACACTAGTAATGATGATGATGATCCCAAAATACAGGCATTTTAGCAGTAGTTTCTGTTGAATGCAACATAATTTTTGAACCTCTCTGGTATTGCTTTACACATGTGTTAGATATGTGAGATTTCTTTAGCTCCTATTAGCTTGGAATGTTTGTGTTTAATACTTTCTTATAGCAGATGTCTATGGTGATACCTGTTCTAGGGTGGATCAGGTTTGCTGTTAGATGGCTGAAAGTTAATACGGGAAGGCATCAACCTTTAATGGTTGGACTCAATGATCTTAAAGGTATTTTCCAACCTAAATGATTCTGTGATTCTCACTTAAGATCTGGCTACAGTATTAAGAAGCTTGCAGTTGAAATAGTGAGCCTATTTTGTTAATTCACCTGCTGCCACAAACCTTTCAATTGATAGCTCCAGTAAGTCTGAAATATCATGCCTTGAGTATCTCTGAGTAGAACACAAGCCATGAAAGAAACGAACAAAAGATCAGGGAGGAAGATAACATTCAAAATACCTCAGCATAAACTACAACAGAGCAGCTGTCTCTGTCAGCTAACTAGTCTAATAAATTATTTAACTAGGAACTCCAGGTTTATCTGATTCTTCTTCTACTTAGAGCCAGATACTGTCTTCATGAATTACTTCCACTACTGCACCTCGCTCCCCCACCTGTTAGAATGGGAAATGTAAATATGATCCTTACCACCCCATAGGCGACAGTATCTGAATACATTCTCATTTCCGGATACACACTGACAAGATACCACCTAAAGGTCTTGCACTGGAGTTTTTTCCTCAAGGCTTTCCTCTCAGAAATATCACCAATATCAATTCCAGAGTCCTGCATATGAAACAAAGGACAGACAAGCAGAAAAGACATCAGTGATATACTTCTGTACAAACTCATCATTCAGTTTCCCTCATTGTAAAGATGATTATGACCTACGATAATTATCAACTTTTGGCTGCAAAGTGAGTGTGTTACACATACACACTCCAGAAGCGCCCAATTAAATATGATACAGGTGACCACAGGTCTCTTTCAAAGTCTGCTTTGGTCAACAGAACCACTTCTATTGACTTCAGTGGGGCTTAGATCTAGCTTCCAATGAATATCACTGTTGTTCTCCAACTTCTTGGCACTTTCCAAATCCAGAAGTAATTGGCAGGAAGTAGCAAGTTGCCCTAGAAACAAACTTATTGCTGGCATCCCACTGTGGCCTAGTCATTAGTATATGACACTTTCTGGCCATTTCTGAAGTCTGGTTTAATGCTACACTGCAAAGAGCAGAAGCTCTGCTCCCCTTTCTGAAATACCACTTATTAAATTTCTCTTGTAATGTAAAAAGAGAAGTAGCTATTTTTGTTAAAGCAATTGAAAAATATTCTCTCCCCTAATTTTTGTTCTCCTTTACATTTCCAGGTAACCTAATTTTTACTTATCATAAGAGCAGCTCATAAAGAAAGGGTTTCGTAAAGTCCCTGTATATAAAAATCAGTAATTTATCACATTAAAATCATGCAGCGGAAATTTTTAGAGAGGATTTAACTGCAAAACCATGGCTGCTATTTAACAGGAAGTAAAATGAGACACTGCTCCACACTGTGCTCTACCACTTCTGTCTCAGAACAAAACACAGGATTAATATGTTTTCTTAGCAAAATCCTATCTATTTAAATAACACCCTTTTCTGGGTCATAAACACCCCAAAGAATTTGTCAGCCACCAGGTATGATTTAAAATTAACATTGGAAGCACTGAATTTTCTTAGTTATACATCAAAAAGGTATCTTTATAAAGACCTAGGTTTCTGAACTGCTGAAGCACCAACTGCTTCTTACCTCCCAAAGCACTGAATTAATGTTAATCTGAAACAAATGTATTTTATTATGGGAGCATTTTCTAGCTAATGGAAAATTGACTTCCACAGTAGCAAAGTAGACTAAAAAGTAGGAAAGTGAGGTCTGGCATAAACAGTCATAACTCAAGTTAATTCTTCAAAGTGATGACTCCCCTCAAGCCCTAGATCGTTCATAAAACTTTGTAATCACCTCCTCCCATGTAGCTGGAGAAGAAAAATAACTCACATGTAGCACCCTGGCTTTATCACCAGCAACAACTCAGCATGTTTCTCAAAGCTGAGAATATGATAGGAGGAAAAAAAAGGGAAAGAACGAACACCAAAAAACATAGGGGAGGACACACAGAGAGCACAGCTTTTGCTTCTGGGGCTTAAATAAATCTCTCCATTGGTTTTTAGGTTTTTTTTTAGTGTTTTAGTTTTTTCCTGAATCTATTTATTGAAGTAGCTATGATGCAGAAATCACCATGGTATCCAAGATCCCCATTTGAAGCCCTTAGTACTTCAGAGCCACCCACATCGATTACAGCAGGGCAGTCACAGCACACTGCCAATTGATTCTGACTCTTTTTTATTATTATTAGCTCTCAAAGAATAAAACCTTTGGAAACATATGACTCAGGGCTTCTCAGTGATTTGGGAATTCTTCCATGGAAAAAACCAACAGGTCCTGTGGTTAACATTTTGGAATAACATATTTCATGGAAAGTCCTGACTGTTGTAACTGAATTCATTTCTATTACCTACACAGTCCATTACTTCATCAGCTTCTAGGTAGATAGTAACTCCCATAGTTATCTACTTGTGTAACACTATTTGGCTATGCTGTCTGTCTGTCCTCTCAGCATGGCTCTCATGATGATGTCTCAAACATCTGTTTGCCTAAGCTGAAACAAGGCCTGATTTTAAAAATGGTCCTCTCTGGTATTTCACCTTTAGTTTACTTTGGAGGTAAACAAAGATGAAACAGACACATTGCCATCTAGTCTGACATCTAAATTTGATCTAATCCTTTCCTAACCTCTCTGTCATCTCTTTGCTCCCTTCCTACTGGAAGTCTGTATTACAAATGCCCCACAAGCTTTAAGTGATTTTTTTAGGTTGCTTTATTCTGAATACTCCTGCCTTTTACTGATGTTTCTATAGCAGAGGCTGCACTGCTCCTAACCTTTTGATGTATAAAAGAGGGCTCCTACTAATGATGTAGGTTTTCTTTACACTGACTGATTCAATTAAAGTGCTTGGGAGTGTAATTTTTTGCTGTATTTTCCTCTTTCCCTTGAAAGGCCAGAAGCTTTCCTTAAACATGTACTTGTTTCATCTGTGAAAATTAAACTGCTTCCCAGGATATTTTAAATAAGAATGTGGGCATGTGTGTGTTTATTTGGTTGTCTACAGCTCTGAGAAATACAAATGAAGGTTCGATGTGCTACAGATTCTATACATACACATAGTAATAGATTTCTCCCTACAACAGAGGCATCTCATTACACTGCAGTAGAGGCTATCACTATTAAAAAGCTGATTTAACACTTGCCATTTCCAGCTTTTAAGTCTGCTCTATGGTTTGACAGCAGTAGCCTTTGTGAAGATGAAGGGAGAATATAATCTGCACTGTAATTTATTCAAGCAGTTCAGTGCAATGTTTAATACATTTGTGGTGGGAAAATGGTTGGAGATTGAAGTAGTAAGAAAACTTATTATTCCTCTTCAAAACTATGAACAAAATCAGCTTTGGAGATACAAGATCTACCCTGCAAACACCTTGATGCACTTCGTGACCTGAATAAATAATTTATTTTTCTTTTGTTTAATAAATGAGTTTCAAAATTTATTACAACAGGCTCACTTTATTCTGATCCATCAGCACAGTCAAGATGGCGTTATTACTACTTGTTAAATTTAACAAGTAATAACAACAACTTGTCTTTTCCTTCTTTATGAATTTAAATTCCAAACTGCATTGAGATCTCAACTTTGCACAAGGTTAAGCAACACCATCACCATATCTGGATATTATGGAAATACACATATGATACTGTATATCCTGGTTAGCAAAAGGAATTCCTAAGTTTTGTGTTCATGCTATGCTTGCAAGTCAAAAAATTGAAATTCGAGCAATCAATGAATATCAACCAGTCTTCAGGAAAATAACAAATAAAAAATAGAAACTGAAATTTAAATCTATCAACTTGGCTCTGAGAAAGTTGAAAGCTCTTAACAGTTCATAGATTAAATACCACTGACTACAGAAATGAAAAACAACTGAAACCAGATATCAAACCGAACTCCCAGGTTAGCCATCCTACAGTATCTTTTCAATACAGGGGACCAATCATTGCTTATCTATGGAAAAGAAGGCCAAAAGGGAGTTATAGGTACATTCTGCAATATGGCATGAAATCCACCAGCCACTCTTACTCTGCTGCGAAATTACTCAAGAGTAATACTTTCACAATTTAACTGATAGATGCTAACACCCCCTGCCCTTGGCAGAACTCCTCTGACAAATCTGGTGGAATTACAGCTCTTTATGATGGTAAATAAGAGGCCCAAATTCAAAACAAGATGTGTAATATAGATTTGATGGTTCCTTTTTCCACATTTCTGCAGCTACTAGGTTAAAATCTCCATGAAGAGTTATCAGTGAGGATGATGAACATGACAACAGATTCATTTTTAAGGAATCTGAAGACAAAGAAATTGTTCTAGAATAAGACACAACTACATTCATATTTTTATGTGTGCATGTGTAGCATATCTTATGCCTACATGTAAGGCATAAATATATACATATGTGCATACCAAAGCAGAACCCAAGCAGAAAAATAAAAAGTCAGTGTAGGAGCCAAACCCAAAAGGATCTAAAGCCAAAGCTTGCAACACAAGTCTTTGTGACTCACCTCCTGGGGTATGTTCCATGCCATATACACATGGCTCTTAAATTCGTCCATCCAGACTTCAGCCACCCTTAGTGCATTTCTCCGGACATGAGCAGTTAGATCTTCTGTGTATGGTTTATGTGCTCTTTCAATGTGGGCAATCCTGGAGCAAGGCAAAACTTCAACACTTCCTCCACATTGCCATACCTAGGAGGAAAAAAGACCCCCTGCTAGTGACAGCTCACTGCAACACTACTGTCCTTTATTAAATACACTGAAATTATTTTATTTCTATGCTTGACATTTTTACAGAGAAGAATAACTACTCAAGACTTATTTGACTATACACAGGGTCTTTTTTTAGATAGTCGTGAGAGGAGAGTGTTATTACCTTGCCTTACTATGAACTATTACTACTACTTAACCTTACTACAGAATTATTACACTACCAGTAATGTCTTATCACAATCTTCTCAGATCAATTCAGCTATTCTCAAGATTATTATAAAATAATTTATAAGGCATCCAAAACCATGGCATTTGGGTTCAAATTTTAATGCCTTGCACACATTTCCCTAAGACTGTGCACAGTCCATCTCAAGGCATACATGCACTATTCGGAATCTGGAACGAGGAAGCCTTATGTAGAAGGGAAACTAAGACAGTCAACTTTTGAGATCACTTAAGTTTCAGGTTCTAGGAAAATTAGAAATATAAATGAATCTTCTGCTTTGCTTTAAACATAGCTCAGAAAAGACCAGGTTTATTTCATTTGAGAAGGAGTGGCAAAAACTAAGACTGCCTAAAGAAAATGTTCTATGAATAATTTCAACACACACTACTCTTGTAAATGATAATAAACTTATAATGTAGGTTACTGTACCTGCTCAAGTGTGTTTTGGTTTTGCCTGCTACCACTGATGTCCATAACATTAATCATGGGTATCACATTCAGTTCTGATTGCCTCTCTTTCTACTTTCAACAAAAGAGAGAACCACTTGGCAGCCTTAACAGTCAGTGAATTACTTGAACTATTTTACATAGAAGGTCTTTTTCTGTGTATCTTGAGTTATGTAAACTTCCTAATAAGATCAAGGCAGCCCACTGGTTGAGTGGATGCTAATCAGGTGAAAACTGAGATGTCCTCCAATTGTTCTATCCTGCTGAACAAGAACCTCAGTGTCCCAGAGGCAAGTGTACTCACTAAGGACTGACAGAGTTTGCTTTATGATGCTACTAGCAGAGATTCCTGAGGCTTGATATTCCATACGAAGAGAGTGAAAACATGAGAGTGAAGGTGCCCCTTCCTTGCACAGCACTTGCAGGAAAGAGTATATTCTGGTCTCCCTCCTAGCGGCCAAGGATGTGGGTTGGCAGAACATCATGTTCTGGAGCTGATCTCAGGCCCCTCAGGTCTGTCCATCGTATAGGCATATGCTCTGCTAAGGAGACACTTTGTTCACTCATTCATTTCATATATTTAGACATCTGGCTTGAATACAACATTTAGACATTTGGCAGCTCCTGAGACCAGAAAACATGGCATGGATTCATAATGTTTACAAAGCCTTTTCTGAATTGGTGCCTAATTGCATTCAGCATATGCTGGAAGAAGAGACAGAGCCTTGGTTTTCTGAGCTCTCTCAAAGATGAGCTACCCCATGCACCTACCATACAGTCAAGAAGTGACCTGAAAAGACTTCAGCATGTCTCTATGACCAGAACTTGGAAAACAGTAAGAGCAAATAAACATAACCATTACCAACAACAGGGCAAAATCTGAGTTGATCATAAATATTTAAAAACACACAGGCTACTGATCTGTCAGAAGAATAGTCTGGAAACAATATTTGTGTTCCATCTAAATATCACAGTGGACAATCCAGTTTAGCGATCTAACAAAAATAATGCTTTGTCAAACATTAAATTCTAAAAGCTTCAGATACATTACCTAAAAAAGATTAAATGTGAAGTATCATCAGGCTTTGCTAACATAATGCCTGCTTTCAGTCCGAGCCACTTCTCAGTACAGCTTTTGACATCCAGTCATAAATTGTTTCAGAGTTACTTACTGTACGCAGCTTGAATTAGTATCAAAAAAGACATGGAAGATATAGAAATTGTCATAACTTAGCGTAGGACAAGACAATTCCCATGCCACATGTTCTGCTTACTCTGCCTAGCCTTTGCTAGGCAGTCCCCAATAGAGATGGCCTCAAACCAAGTCCAACATGTGAACACCAAATCTTCTGTGGGATTTTCTGAGTTAGGTCTGAATGCCATCTTGACAACAAGCTGAGCAAAAAATTCACAGTCTATAATAAGCTGAATTTCCAAGTAAATTTCGAGGATGTGAAAATCTAAAGAGCGGACTCATCTATAATTTTAACTGATTCAGTAATCAGTCAAATATAATTTGACTTTATAATGAATTCATATGTATTTTCAAAGTCTGTAATGTAGTTTGTAAATAACAAGTAAATAACTACCTGAATAAACACCAGTTAATCAAATCTGGGGGCCACTCCTTTCTCTCAGACACTGCCAGTCTTTGTTTTACTTCCACAGATGAATTAATTACTCTGCAGAATCATTGATTCACTCAAGAACTTAATGCTAAGAGAGACCTGTCAATACAGATGCTGACAGTACTAGTGGGTTGTATCAAACAACTTCAAACCTAAATATTATTTCTAAGCAAAAATCTCCTGCAATCCATGAAAACATGATTAGCATGCACCAGAACTGGACTACAGATATATGCTACCAGTTTCCATATATCAAGATGAATAGAAGTCCTTTAGTTAATGACTTTTTAAAGAGGAAGACATGAGAAACACATGTGATCTGAAAATATGGGAATACAGTGTGTGCAGAGCTTTAGCTACAGTACTAAACAAGCAGCACAACCCCAGATGTAGGGTGTAAAGTCTTGCAAAGCACTCACAGAGTGAAAGCAGATGCAGTACTTTGTAAGGGCAGACAGCACAATCCAGACATTCTCAGCTGGTCGCATCTAGGACAAGCCACAGTACCTTTCACTCCCACAAGCGTTCCTTGCCAGCGGGATTACAGTATGGTGAGAAAGATCTTTCTCCAAAAATTTCACTGCACTTGGGGAGTCCCATTGCAAAGAAAGAAAATTTAGGAAGGCATTAAAATGGGATTTTCTAATGGCATGAAACTCTCCTGCAATCTCAAGGGATTCTGGATTCCCAATGCCACAAATGTGCAAAATCTCCAGCCTAGGAATGAAGGGCTTTGCTAGTCATACAGTATATGAATACTAAACAATACAACATGATTAACTGACTGCTACAGAAAGTGTTAGGGTTTTTCCATCCTTCCCTTCTTTGAAATAATGTAATTTCTTGCAGCTAGGTAAGAACACCCATCCAGTCTTCTTTCATTCTCAGACCAGCTTATCACTTGTCCCTGACCACTCCTAGCTATCCCCATCTCCTCTACTCATGTAAACAAATCCATGGTGCTTCTACCATTATGTTGGAGCCACTGTGGATGACTGGATGAGTTTTCAAGACACCTTGAAAAGGTGTAAGTCTCACATCAAATGCATATAGGACAGATTCAATTACTCTAAACCATCAACTTTGGGTCAAAGACAATTTTTACGGTTTTTTAATTAATATTTTAATACTAAGAAATATATTTTCTTTAAGAGAGAACTTGTGTCCTGGGTTCAGCAGTAGCAGTCATTCTTCTCCTTCTTAGTAGCTGGTGCAGTGCTGTGTTTTTGACTTTCAGCCTGGAATAGCACTGATAACACTGATGTTTTTAGTTGCTGCTCAGTAATGTTTATTCTGATCAAGGACTTTGTGAGTCTCAGGCTCTGCCAGGGAGGAGGGGAAGCCGGGAGGAATCAGAGACAGGACACCTGACCCAAACTAACCAGAGGTATTCCATACCACAGCACATCTTGCCCACTATATAAACGGGGCAATTACCCAGAAGGGCTAGATCACTGCTCAGTTGGGCTGGGTATCAGTCAGTGGGTGGTGAGTGGTTGTATTCTCTTCCCTTGTTATTTCCCTTCTCATTATTATTATTGGTGGTAGCAGCAGTGATTTGTGTTATACCTTAGTTACTGGACTGTTCTTATCTCAACCCGTGGGAGTTACATTCTTTCGATTCTCCTCCCCATCCCTCTGGGAATGGGGGGAGGAAGCGGGGTAGTGAGTGAGCGACTACGTGGTTCTGAATTACTGACTGGACTTAAACCACGACAACTTGAAGCAAAGTTGTGAAGCCTTTTAAAATGGTCTTTACATTGTCTTTAATATTTAAAAAATAGGAATAGCAATTGAGGTGTCAGTTCCTCACAATTTCACGTTTCCCCTGTGAATTCCACAGCTATATTTTTTCTGTCATTTGTGATCTTTACTCAAGATTCACCCAAACTGAATAGCATCTTTCTTGTTCTCTAGCACTGTTATTTTATGTGATGGCTATAAATAAATAGAAAGGTTTAAAATCAGTGAAGCTTTTCTAAGTTATCACCCATGATTTCAACAGGAAGTCTAAAGATAAAAGAGCTTCAAAGACTTTTCTTAACCACACGGAATGGTTTGAAGTAAAACGTTGCATCTCTGGGCATACTGTTGCTGCAATCCGCAATGCTTAATGACAAAACTGCTCATGCAAGGGAAAATCTTGACAAATTTCCTAAACTATGGTTACAAGGAAATACAACACCTTTTTCTGTTGCCTATGAAGATATTTTTCCTGTGGTAGATGGAAAGTGAGGTGGAAAGAGGTGGAAATTGCTAGCAATAGTCCCAATTTCCTGTCAAATCCCTAAAGACATATAAACTTGTCAAAAGTAACATATGCATCTGTCACTATGATATAATAAATAGCAATTCACATTTCATTCTGTAAAAGCATCAACTGCAAAACTGTACCAGTGGGTCTCAGAAGTTATCTTCAGGCAAAGACTGTGGAAAGTTTTCAAGTATGAGCGACTGCGTATCTTCGGGAGCATTAGCATGATTGATGGAGCCTCAGCAATGCAGAAAGTTTGCTTTTCTTTGGGGAATTTCTTGAGGTTCTGGTCCCACTGGTTCCCTTTGCAAAAGCAGTCTCTTGGAAAAAGATGACACCAACTAGAGTTTCCATCCAAAGAACTCTCAGAATCCACTTCAGTGTGTTTTCAATGCTTCCTACCAAGAGAACCTTAAGAAAGGGC